TAGCCATACTTCGCATAACAACTGCAAAACTTGATTTCATTCATTTCACTTTTGACAATGTTATATTACTTTTTTCTTTTTTTTCCTCGTTTTTGCTGATTTGATCATGTTGCTCTTTGTTCCTGGTCCATTTGGAAGTTCTGCTGTTCATTTCCATTTTGTTTATTGCTACTTTCTCTTTCCCAATATTTAGAAGCCACTTGTTTCCCATGAGATGCCGCATTTCACCACCGCTTTCTCCTTTCCCCTCAGCAGGATGAGAAATGTATCGTACTCCTTTTTTCACTCTTTTCCCTGTCATTCCCCCCAAAATGAGAGCTTTGAAATGCCTTCACATGCTCTCTCTGGTCTGTGTCAGGAACTCCTAGATTTTGCTGAGATGATCTAGTACTTTCTGTTCCAGACTGTGATTATCGTCCCTTTCAGTGTTTACTTACTTAACCTTATGTGACACATTCTGAGGCCACCTGTCCTTCTCCATTCAGGGTGGGCAGTACATGGACGGCAGGGTCCACTGTACACCACTGTTTTTTTCCTCTTTGTCACCCTCTGTCTTGAGGTCACGGTTCTGACTCATTAGTGTTTGGTCAGAGCTCTTTTCTGGGTATGTGTGACATGTGCTCAAAGTCTTCGTGTAGCCACAAATATTTCCTTTCACCTACGAGTGAATGGCAGCTTGGCTGCTTGCAGGACTCTCCGGTTGCAACCCTTTTCTCTCAGGTGTCTCTAGCTATTTTCCCACGGCCTCCCATGCCCCAGGGGTGCAGGTGAGAAGCCCAGGCTGTTCCTTTTCAAGCGAGAGTCATTTAGTCTTTTAGGATAGCAGCTTTTAAGGTTCTCTCTTTGACCTTAGGGTTTAGAACTACTAGAATATGCCCAGGTCTGTGTTTCTGTTCTTCAACCCCACAGAGAACTTGGGGTTTCCTTTCCCTCTACAGACTCAGGCCTACTTTAGGGAAACGTTCTTGTAGTTTTTGTTCAGTTATTATCTGTCCTGCTTTGCAGATCTTGTCACTTGCTGTTGCGTCTCCTGGATTGGCCCTGCCTGTTCCCTCGTGGTTTCTATCTCGTGGTCATTTTGCTCGTATGGTGTGAGATGTTCCTTTCCCTTTATCTTTCAGGCCACTCATTTGGGTCTGAACAGGGGTCCTGCAGGCTTCAATTCACTTACTGAATTTTAAATCAGTAAAATATGACCCCGAAAGTCACATTTTCCAGTTCCCAGTTGTTCTATACTTGAGTCTCAAGGATTATTGATGATTTTCAGTTGTCATCCGTTTCCTCTGGTGGCTCTATTTCATTAGGGCCTTTTCTGACTGTTCTGTTTATTTTTATTCTCTGATTGCTGGACCCCCTTATGAGTTATTTTTCTTTTTCTGGCCCCTGGGGCTCTTTTCCGCCCTCTCTTGACTGGTGGTGGTTCTGGGAGTGAGGGAAGGGGCGGTGGCTTTGGCTCCTGAGGGCTGGTGGGGTGACATCTAGCCTTTCTCTTCCCCAGCCGTGACCTGCTGGCTCAGCCTCAGAGGTGGAGAGGTCTCAACTCATCTGTGAAGCTTTTTCTTATCTTCTAGGGGACCAGACAGAAAGTTTGGGGGTCAGGTTTGCCTCAGGGTACACTCTGACCTCCACACAGAAATGGTCACCGGGCTGTGAGGAAATTGTAAAGGGCACCAGAGATGTTTAAAAAGAAAACAAACGACAACCAAAACAACTAGGGACAGAAAGGTCCTATGATTATTTTTGACGCTGAAAGCCAGAGACAGAGATGTCTCCAGACACAGACTGGGGCTCAGAAGGTGAGGGCTCCTAGTGTGTCCCCTTTTCTCCTTAGGTTCCAGCCAGAGCTGTTTCTTTGCTGTGTCCTTGGCCCACCAAGGTCGCCTGTGCCTCAGGGCCTTTGCACCTGCTGCTCTTTCTGTCTGGAGCCTGTTTTCCCCAGATCTCCACGTGGCTCCCTCCCTCTCTCGAGTCCCTCCTCAAATCACACTCATCACTCACTTGCCACCCTGTGTCCCCTTACCCTACCTTATTCTTTGTTATAGCTCTTGTCACTGCATCACATGATATCACAGATTTTTGCTTTTGCTAAACCCCATAAGGACAGACTATATCCCCAGCACTGGAGACAGTCCTTGGCACACAGTAGGTGCTTATTAACTGTTTTCTGAATGAATAAGTGGGTGGATATATGAGGCATGATGGAGAAGTCCTATTGCCTGTGGGCTATGGATGGCGCAAAGAGGTCCCCAGCCCCACTCACAACATATACTGTGAGTCTGAACTGATGCTTATTTCATGAGCCAAGGATAAAGTCTCCTAGGAATCAAGGTGGCCACACAGGGACAGGAACAGATGTGGAGCCTCTCAGAGCGGTGTCTGCCAGCTCCAGGACTTTGGTGTCGGGGTGGGGGCAGCCCATCAGCTGCGCAGGTGCCATCTGTGTGAAGGGTACTCCTGTGGGACCCGAGAAGCTCATTATGCCTGCTGTGGGGCTGCTGTCACCTTCAGGAAGAACTTAACTGTCTGAGTCTTTAACACGGCTTAAGACTCCGGGCCCTTCCTGGTTCTCCAGCCAAACTGGCTGGAAATGAACAAGGCCAGAGTCCTCTGGGGCTGGGGTGGGGGTCAAGCCCACACGATTGCTCAGGAGTCCCTGAGCACCACTTGAGTCTCCAGCTCCCGGCACCCCGGGAGGGACAGCAGGACTTGCATCCGCCCCGGATGAGAAGCGGGATGCTTCGTAGAGCGGAAGCGTGTGGAGTTAGCGTGGGCACTTTCCCACTCTCTTCTGTTCTTACGCTGTTTATTCCCAGTTTTATTAAAGTGCTCTCTGGCTCAGATCCTGTTAGCATAGTCCGATAAATAGAAAGAAAGAGAATACAGAAGGCAGGGTGCTCTTTCACCGCCGCCTTGAGAAAGCGGAGAATCGAGTTCTGTGGGCATCTGTGGCTGCCGTGAAATGTAGCTCAGGCGTTGATGTCAGCCCTGGCCTCAGACCCTTTCATAGCAGGAAGAAAGGAAGGACAGCTATTTAGGGCAGCTGCCAAGTCCTCGAACCACCTGCCAGGGCTCCGGGCGACATGCTCTCGTTTTGAAAGGCTAAAAGTCACTGCTTTGTCCTCCTAATACAAAGCTTCCCTTTTTTGGCCTTCCCAGGGCTGTGAGAGAGAGAAGAAAAAAAAACGTCACACACATTTCAGACCCCAGAACACTTCTTCCCCCAAGGTCTGGAAATTGAACAAGGTCCATCCAAACTGAAATTACAAAGTTTCTTGGGTAAAATTATGCCTGGCTAATTTAAAGAAATGCTTTAAAGAAAAAAAAAAATCAAACATTCTCTGTGGAAAGCGGGAAAGGTAAAATCCTTGAGGAACCTCTGCGCTGCTCTCTGATTCCTTCTGGAGTGCACGGGTGTTCTTCCCTGCAGCCGGTTCTGCAGGGCCAGTTGGCTGACCTGCGGCTGGCTCCCCCGCCAGCATCCCCTGCCGCCCCTGTCCCGCGTGCCTTTGCTGTCCCTGAGCTCACCCTGTGCACCCCACGATCCCTGGGCCCTCTACATGTTGCACATTGCATTGGCCATGCCGCCGACAGGGGTTTTTTTTTGGTGGCAGGGGTCCTGCTCATTTTTGGAGTTTCTCTGTGTCGTACTCCATTCTGGCTGCTATAACAGAATACCGTGTCCTAGGGCGGATTTTCAGCTGCAGAAATGTATTCCTCAGAGTTCTGCAGGCCGGAAGTTTGAGATGAGGTTGCCAGCAAGGTCGGGTTCTGGGGGGCCCTCCCCCGGGTTGTAGATGGCTTCTCTTTGTGTCCTCATGTGGCAGAAATAGAACTGGCTGGCTCTCTGGCCTCTTTGTTTAAGGGCACTAATCCAAGGGCTCCACTCTCATGACCTAATCACCTCCCAAAGGCCTCACCTCCTCATACCATCACCTCAGGGATTAGAGTGTCAAACATGAATTCTAGGGGGACACAAACTTCAGCCCATTGCACTCTCGTACCCCATGATGAAGCAGCATGTTGGGAGTGGCCCGCTGTGGGTAGGCTTGTGAGGTTGACCAGCAGCCTTTCTCCAAATGCGTGGGACTGTCCGTGTGCCATGTGGATTGTACGTTTCAGTTGAAGTTTCTTTTTCAGTGATTGCAGGCATCATGTAAATGAAGGCATTTTAATGGCGCAGTGACTGATGGCAGAATTTCTTAAGGAAAAAAAATACAGCAGCTCTGGTTATATGTATGTTCCCTTTAGAAATGTTGAGATATAGGAGAGAATTAAGAAGAAAATTCATCATACCCAGCACCCCCACAGTCCTCTCCACACCTTGTTGTTTTCAGTATTAATTTCTCCATCCTTGTTTGTATGTTTGCACATGCATGCATAACACACACGCGCACGTATATATTTTTGCAAGTTGAATTATGCTGTATTTTTTAGACTCTATTTCTCACTTAACAGTAATATCAAAAACTTGTTCCCAGCTATATACAGATATTGTAAAGCACACAGTGAAGGCATATGTGGCAGCTCTGATAAAATTAAACACACAGTTCATTTCTTCCCCTGGCCCGGGGCGGGATACCTGAGATTCTTGCATTTGTAAGGTGCAAGAAGCTAGTATGACTTGGAAAAGCAAGAACGTTTCCTGAGCATTCTATTTCATCAGAATATTTAAAGGTAGATGGAGATGACGTTAACTCTTAGGGCCACATGTCTCGGAGACAGAGCTTTATCGGGTGTCTGTGCTGCCCAGGCACATACTTGCCTTCTACGGGTCTGGCTCGCTCTGTGTCTGCAGATACATAAATGGATTCCGTGGAACAGTGGGCGAAACCATTGCCGTTCCCCAAGAGCAGGAATCCTGTGTGTCTTGCTCACTGCTATGTCCCCGTTGCCCAGCCCACTGCCTGATATGTCAGAGGTGCTCAGTAAATGTTCAATAGACGACGGGTGTTGCAGCTGGAGGGTTATTTGGGTACTGACCGTCTTGGTGTCTCTTTCAGGGGGCCCGCAGTCCAGGCTTTTGGTACGGGGTGTGCAAGGCAGAAGCATCAGCATGAAGGTGCCCACCTCTTCCCGAGCCAAGCAGGGGCCCTTCAAGACCATGCCGCTCCGGTGGTCCTTCGGACCCCGGGAGAAACCACCCGGTGCGTCTGTCGAGTTGGTGGAGTATTTGGAGTCCAGACGGAGACCCCGATCCACGAGCCAGTCCATCGTGCCACTGCTGACGGGCGCTGCTGGTGAGGAGAAGTCGGCCTCGCCGAGGTCAACCGTCACCGTCTCTGCTAAAGGTGAAGAAGGTGGGCGAGCCAGCGAAAGAGGACTGGCCGAGGGGCCCTGTCCCTCGGGCCACCCCAACCACTGCCTGGGCCCTGGAAGCTCAGATGGTCTAAACGCAGCAAGGAAACTAAAGGAAAATGCAGGTCAGGAAATCAGGCTTCCCAAAAAGTTCGACCTGCCCCTCACTGTGATGCCCTCCATGGAGAACGAGAAGGCAGCTCGACCGGAGGGCCAGAAGGCCACGAACTGGAGGGGAAGTGGCCAGGTGGGAAGCAGGAATGGCCCACCTTCCCCCTCCATGGGACTGTCTGGAAACAGTAAGGACAGTTGGCGAGGAACCCTAGCCAAGACAAGGGCTAATGCGGAGGAAAGGGACTCTGAGGGGGACAGACCTCCGCAGGGAACACTCACCCTGCTGAGGTCTGTGTTTTGGAAGAAGGAGAGTAAGAGGAATGACAGGGCAGAGGTCTGCCCCCCGGCGCCCCCAGTGTCCCTGCTGAGTGGCAGGCTGAGCCCCGCCATGAACGAGCAGGCTCGAGGCTCATCTCCTTCCCTCCGGATCCGAGAGAGCCTGGCCAGGGGCCTGGGCAGCCATCTCGAGAGGGACGTCCGGTCGGCCCCCAGCTCTCTCCACCTCCCTCGCAAAGCCGGCAGGCCTCCGAGAGGCAGTGGCCTTGGCACGTCACAAAGGAGCGTTCTGGGGGACCAGACTTCTTACGGCACCTTGCAGAAGGTCAAATACCACACTCTGTCCTTAGGCCGAAAGAAAACCTTACCAGAGTCCAGCTTTTGACGGAGCATCTTGGTATTGTGCGAAGCTGGCGTTCTTGGGACTTTGCACTGAGTAGCTGTAGGCAGCCTGTGTCGAGAGTGGGTTTCCAGGAAGCCAATTGTGATCTCCATGTCTAGACTTCCCACACCTAATGTCCAGATCATCCAGCGTCTATGTACCTTCTTGATCTTTGGGTGCTCTGATTCAGTCTGGCCACGAGAGGATGCTGTTGGGTCAGTATTACCAGTTTCAGGGACGAACTGACACCCAGTGAGATTTGGGTGTGCGCAAACCGGAGCATAGCTCTGCGCGTGAGCCTCCTAGCTAATGAGAGTCTTCAGTGTGATGTTTAATGTTGTCATTGTCTTCTCTTTTTCCCTTCTTTTTAAAGAAATAGTGGCTTTACAGGAAAATCTTTTCCTTTTAATGATTCTCTGGGATAAGCATGAAAGATGCCAAAAAAAAAAAAAAAAAAAAAAAAAGAAAAAAAAAACGTTTTTTACCCCACCCCAAAAAAAAAAAAAAAAAAAAAAAAACGGTAGGGACAGTGAAGCAAGATTCTAGGAGAGAGATGGGAGAGAAGTGACTGAGATTTTAGGCGAATATTTAATATATAACAAAATAATTGTATTAAAGTTTTTCAAGGTATTAATATTTTAAAAAGATAACTATTTTGATACTAGAAAAAAATGAAGTTGTTTTTTTAATTCAAGGATGAAATCTATGTACAATTTTAATAAAATCCCATCAGTGAAACATGCAAATGGCTGTCTGAATTCTTCATGCTTGATACATGACCTTGTTTCTTTCCTGCTGCATAAACTCAGTTCATTGCTGTCCCTATCGGAAAGTAGTTATGAGATCACATCTGTAAACAAAGATGTTAAAAAAAACAACATATATATATATAGTTACTGCAGTTCTTTCTGAAATCTAAAAATGCTTTTAACTAAAGTGGCTTGCTGTTTCCTAAGGAAGTGACAGTCTCCCTAGGCTTCTCTCTGGAGGGCTTATGCTTGCGAGGACTTAGGAATCTGTGCCTGTCTTGATGGACTGTCCCCCGTTTCCTAAAACTTTGAACACTCTACTGTAGCTGTTCTTACAAGTACCCTCTCATTTCTTACTAAGAAGCTGCTAAGCCTGACCCCAGGCCTGAGGCTCAACAGATGAGGTCACTGGTGAGTCTGCACTTAAACAATCCATTTTCTAGAAATATTTCCTTTTTGATGGGAATCATTTGTTCAAGACATCCAACCCCAAGAATTAAGTCTTCCCCCATATATATAAGATGACTCAATGGCATGGCTCTGCTATTTCTTTTTTCTGAAGAAGGAAGAATGAGGTCCTTTCTTCACCCCAGCGAAAGAGACAACTTACCTATGATCTAAGCAACAGAAAATAGAAATCACTGAGATAACAGAGAGAGCAGGAAGACCCCCCCGACCTGACCCCTGAGGATGATACTATACCAGTGACCTGTGTGTTTGTATTCCAAAAGAAGTCCATGTTCTCTTCAAGTCTTTTTTTTTAACTATTTTTATTTATAATTTTTCATTTTGAAATAATTTCAGACTTAACAAAAGCGTGGCAAAAATATTCAAAGCGTTCTCATATACTTGTCACCTAGCTTTCCCATATTTCTTACATAACCTTAGTAAATTGATCAAAACCAGGAAATTAACATTGTTATACTATTAACTTATGTGCAGATCTTATTCAGATTTTTCCAGCTGTCCAAGTAACATCCTTTTCCTGGCCCAGAATCACACATTTAGTTTTCTTATCTCATTAATATCTTCTACTCTGGGACAGTTCCTCAGTCTTTGTCTTTTTTTTTTTAAATTTCTGCATATTATGGGGGTACAAATGTTTAGGTTACATTGCCCTTGCCCCCCACAGTCAGAGCTTCAAGCGTGTCCATCCCCCAGATGGTGCACACCGCACTGATTATGTTTGTATATACTCATCCTCTCCTCCCCCCTCCCATCTGCCCGACACCCGATCAATGTTATTCCTATATGTGCACTTAGGTGTTGATCAGTGAAACCAATTTGCTTGTGAGTACATGTGGTGCTTATTTTTCCATTCTTGGGATACTTCACTTAGTAGAATGGGTTCCAGCTCTATCTAGGAAAATACAAGAGGTGCTATATTACCATTGTTTCTTATAGCTGAATAGTACTCCATGGTATACATATACCATATTTTATTAATCCACTTATGTATTGATGGGCACTTGGGTTGTTTCCACATCTTTGCAATTGTGAATTGTGCTGCTATAAACATTCGAGTGCAGATGTCTTTTTTATAGAATGTCTTTTGTTCTTTTGGGTAGATGCCGAGTGATGGGATTGCTGGATCAAATGGTAGATCTACTTGTATCTCTTTAAGGTATCTCCATATTGCTTTCCACAGAGGTTGCACTGGTTTGCAGTCCCACCAGCAGTGTGTGAGTGTTCCTATCTCTCCACATCCATGCCAACATTTATTATTTTGTGACTTTTTGATAAAGGCCATTCTCACTGGAGATAAGTGATATCTCATTGTGGTTTTGATTTGCATTTCCGTGATGATTAGAAATGTTGAGCATTTTTTCCTATGTTTCTTGGCCATTATTCTGTCTTCTTTTGAAGTTTCTGTTCATGTCCTTTGCCCACTTTTTGATAGGGTTGTTTGATTTTTTCTTGCTGATTTTCTTGAGTTCTAAATAGATTCTGATTATCAGCCCTTTATCAGATGTGTAGCATGCGAAAATTTTCTCCCATTCAGTAGGTTGTCTGTTCTTGTGACAGTTTCTTTGGCTGTGCAGAAGCTTTTTAATTTGATCAGGTCCCATTTATTTATTTTGGTTGTTGCTGTGATTGCCTTTGGGGTCTTCTTCATAAATTCTTTGCCTGGGCCAATGTCTAAAAGAGTTTTTCCAACATTTTCTTCTAGAATTCTAATCGTTTCACATCTTAGGTTTAAGTCTGTTACCCACTGTGAGTTGATTTTTGTGAGAGGTGAAAAGATGTGGATCCTGTTTCAGTCTTCTACATGTGGCTATCCAGTTTTCCCAGCACCATTTATTGAATAAGGATTCTTTTCCCCAGTGTATTTTTTTTGTCTGCTTTGTCAAAGATTAGATGGCTATATGAGGATGATTTTATATCTGGGTTCTCAGTTCCATTCCACTGGTCAATGTCCCTGTTCTTGTGCCAGTACCAAGCTGTTTTCATTACTATGGCCTTGTAGTAGAGTTTGAAGTCTGGTAGATTGATACCTCCCATTTTGTTTTTATTGCCTAGGATTCCTTTTGCTATACAGGGTCTTCTCTGGTTCCATACGAAGCATAAAATTATTTTTTCTATATCCATGAAAAATGACATTGGTATTTTAATAGGGATTGCATTGAATCTGTAGATCACTTTGGGTAGTATAGACATTTTAACAATGTTGATTCTGCCGACGCACAAGCATGGTATGGTTTTCCACCTGTTTACATCCTCTGCTATTTCCTTCCTCAGTGTTTCATAGTTCTCCCTGTAGAGGTCTTTTACCTCCTTGGTTAAATATATTCCTAGGTACTTTGTTTTCTTTGTTTCCATTGTGAAGGGTATTGAGTCTTTGATTTGGTTCTGAGTTTGACTATTATTGGTGTATAAGAATGCCTCTGATTTTTGTGTATTGATTTTGTATCCTGAGACTTTACTGAATTCATTTATCAATTCCAGGAGTCTCTTGGTTGAATCCTTGTGGTTTTCTAGAAATAATATCATATCATCAGCAAAGAGTGAGAGTTTGATCTCTTCTGCCCCCATTTGGACGCCCTTAATTCCACTCTCTTGTCTAATTGCTGTAGCAAGGACTTCCAGCACTATGTTGAATAGAGGTGGAGATAGTGGGCAACCTTGTCTGGTTCCAGTTCTAAGTGGGAATGCTTTCAATTTTTCCCCATTCAGTATGATGTCTATGCCTATTTTGTTAAGTGTTCTTATCATAAAAATGTGTTGAATTTTGTCAAATGCTTTTTCTGCATCTATTGAGAGGATCATATGGTCTTTGTTTTTGCTTCTATTTATATGGTGAATTACATTTATAGATTTGTGTATGTTGAACCATCCCTGCATCTCTGGGATGAAGCCCACTTGGTCGTGATGAGTTATTTTCTTGATAAGCACCTGGATTCAGTTTGCTACGATTTTGTTGAGAATTTTTGCATCTATATTCATAAGGGATTTTGGATATTCTTGGACCTTTCTAATTCTATGTAAATTTTAGAATCAATTAATTTACACACACTCCCCCCCCACACACACAGACTTCCGTATGGATGTTGATTAGGATTTTATTTAAACAGGGCATATCCTTCCAATTTAGGTCTTTAAACAAAATAACAAAGCTGGAGACATAAGATTACCTGTGTTCAAATTGTACTACGGGGTTATAGTAACCAAAACAGCATGGTACTCATATAAAAATAGATACATAGACCAGTGGAATAGAATTGAGAACCTAGAAATAAAGCCACATATTCATAGCCAACCAATCTTTGACAAAGCTGACAAGAGCATACATTGGGGATAGGACACCCTTTTCAATAAATGGTGCTGGGAAAATTGGATAGCCATATGCAGAAGAATGAAACTGACCCCTCTATCTTACTGTATACAAAAATCTACTCAAAATGTATTAAAGACTTAAATGTAAGACCTGAAACTATAGAAATACTAGAAGAAGCCTTAGGGAAAACTCTTTTGGACATGGGCAGTGGCAAAGAATTTATTACTCAGACCTTAAAAGCGCAGGCAACAAAAACAAAAATAGACAAATGGGACTTAATTAAACTAAAAAGCTTCTGCACAACAAAAGAAATAATCAACAGAGTGAAGAGACAACCTGTAGGAAGGGAGAAAATATTTGTAAACTGTTCATCTGACAGGGGACTAATAGCCAGCATATACAAGGAACTCAACAACAACAACAACAACAATCTCAAATAATTCTATTAAAAAGTAGACAAAGGACATGAATAGACACTTTTCAAAAGAAAATATGCAGATGCTCACAAGTATATAGAAAAAAATGTTCAACATCACTAATCACCAGAGAAATGCAAATTAAAACCACAATGCAATATCATCTTACTCCAGTCAGAATGGCTATTATTAAAA